CCGATTTCGAAAGGAATATGGCTCCTCAAAAGTAGGGGAAGTAGAAGTGGGACGAGATTACCATGACGGAAATAACATGGAAGCGGTATTTGGACGAGTTTTCCATTGTTGCAATTGCACAAAGAGCGGACTACATCAAGCCAGAACTGTAGAGAACTGTCTTTCACTGTCATTATGGGTCATGACTAGCTGTTTGAACTGCCGGCATGGGCCCCCTTGTGATCGGTGCAGCCTCTACAATGCCGGTGAAACTCGTCCGAGGATACACCCGGGCCAATCATTGAGCCTTTACTATTCCCTAACTAGGCCGTTTTCAGACCTAATAGTGCTAGATATGGTATACGCGGGCGCCTCAAATTCATCTTATGGGGGAATTTCATGAACCGTTTTTATCGTGAACTGTGCCTTTAAAAGTAGTAATTGTGTAAGGGATAAACGGGTGGAGGTGGTGAAGTGGCAAGTAGCGCACTATCACACGCGCATGAATCATCAGTGAATCCCAGTATGGAATCAAGAATCGATAGACAAGCCAACCGAGTCTTAAAGCCCTCCGTGGTCGGTCAATTGGCACCAGACTGTCTGGGAGATTAAAAGCAGTGACTTGTTCATCGGCTGGCCCCCACAATTCATTGTATAGGCCACTCATGCAATACAATGCAACACGTCATTACGATTCTGAACGGAAGTCGAATGTGGGGCGTATCCATCGGACGGGATTGATTCCGCCCAAAGGCTTTACGTATACTTTATCCTTTTATTCCCTATGTAAAATGAAATTAAACGAGTAAGCAGCACGATATCCTTCTTAAATATACTTACCGATCGTAAATTAGGCACATCGGTAGCCAATCGTGTACATATCTTTCCACTGGCATGTAATGGTGAATCGAAGTAACCCATGTCTTGTGAGAGAATGTTCGAGAACAATTTGGAACGTAAATCCATTGTAAGGTTTTCGGCACCGTAACCCATAAAGAACGTCTGAAAATGTTTTTATTCACAATCGATACTCTTTCTCAATCCTCCTTGCTAACCCTCAATACCAGATATCGTTAAAGAAAATATCTCCCATCACCCACGGACTGCTTTATTGTTATCACCCCGGGCTGGGAGGATAAGCCATTGACTTGTACATCGACCGGTCCCCATGAGTCATTTTATAGGCCGACCGTACGCATTCAAGCACCTCTATCATTTTGACGGAAGTTGATGGCAACCCTATTCCAAATTGGAGCTGATCAATGCCAATACTCTTGTCCTTCTCCCATTTTTGAACTTTTGTTCTGGATTCTAACAAATTTAAGAGTGAAATTCAATTCAGTACTGGGTTCTTATTTCCCTAGGTTCAAATACAAATGATTCTTTGGGTGACGGTACTTCCCCCTGAATCCCCGCTGCACGCGGCCGTGGTTCCGCGGCGGCTACCGTATCTTTCCATTCGGGATTCAGACACTTCCCTTCAAGACGCTCGACTGAGCGCGATCGGATGAAACGAGCGCGACGTGATTGTCGGGGAGAAGTACCTACACCCCAGTTTTTTTATGTATAAGAAACTAGTATTCTAGCAAATGAGGCATCTTACCTGACCAAACATTGTGCATCCTTGAATACCGGCCAGTACAAGGAACATCAGAGCCCAGAAATGTCCCGTTGAAAGCAATGTATCAGGATTAGAAAATGACTGAAATTACATCTATTTTGATTATATCGAAAATACAGTTTTGATTGAAAAAAATTATATTTTGATCACATGGAAAATACAGTTTCGAATTCTATAAAAAATATTATAAATATAACTCATTGATTATTGCAGGATTAGATTGTTATAATTGATTTCCACACTGATTACTTTTGACGCTAAAGCTCCCAGAAGGGTTTATGAAAAGTTTGGCCAAGTCACGAAATGCTGAGTGGCTCTTACTTAGGCCAGAAGCCTCTGTGGGGGAGGGGGGGGGGGGGGGGGGGGGAGAAATTTTGAAAATTGTAAAAATTTCAAAGTGAAAAAAACAGGTCATCTGGTAGCTCCAGCCGATTTTGACGAGATAGCCACGAATTCCTTTGGTTTTCGGGCTTTTTTTGACTCAGAGAAGCGATTCAAAAATATTTCATTCAATTGCAGTTAATATTTACATCAATTTTTGAGTGATATTTACAGTTCCTTACCGTAATCACTTGCATGAAAACCACGGAATATGTTGGATAGACAAGTCCTCCGATAACGCATGCTGTGAGTCCTATCGTTAACATTTTCCAGTGAGGACTGGCATAAGCGAGAATTTCCAACAGATTTGTCTTCTTCACTCCTTCAGCCTTCAATTCTGGAAATACACTTCTTTTTTGAGATAATTTACGAATTTACTAGTGATAATCGATATCTTGACCATGGATGTGGCAGCTGTTGGAAGCGGTGCTATAGCTTGCAGCTTCTCTGATTTAACAGAATTTTAAGACCTTTTCCCAAAATCAGTTTTTTTT